CCCCCCCCAGTCGACCCAATGTGGAAGGCCTCGTCGAAGTTGATTTTGATCGTGCCTGGTGGAGGGCAACTCCAGCAACTTGCACCAAGAGAGGCATGACTACCCGTAGGTTGGTCATTTGCACATCGGAACTCCTCCATATATTGGAGCACAAACTGAACGAGATCATGCGGTTGCCGCTGCGTGCAACGCCATGTAACATCATTCCGGTTAGACCACAGGCCCCACATCACGACCATGGACAGAGCACGAGCATCGGACGTCAACTCACACCAAGAGACAAAGAGCCAATCTGGTAAGGGTAAGTCAGCGTGCCTATCAGAGGAGAGAAGACCCGGGAGCAAACGCCAGACCGCCTGAGCAAACGGGCAATTCCGGAGGATATGCAATGTTGACTCCTCCGCACTTCCACAAACGCAGCACCCCAGATGCGGTAAAGAGACCCGCCACTTAGCAAGAGCACAACACGTAGGAAGGATATCATGGATACCATGCCAGGTACATAGTTTAATCTTTTCAGGGAGCCTTGCATTCCAAACCCACTTCCACAACTGAGTCATGCCCGAAACCGAGGAAGATGGTGGGTCGGGGTCAGTCGACAAAGTAAGAGCCACACGGTACGCGCTCTTAACAGAAAAATTTCCTTTCCGGTCAAAATGCCAAATGAGGCAGTCTGGGGGAGACCGGAGGCTTAAAGGCACCCTAAGAATCTCCTCCACATCCAAAGGCAGGAACAGGGACGTAAGAAGTGGTATATTCCACTGGGGTTGGCTCGCCTCACTAATGAGGCTGCTAACTTTTAACTCTTCAAGCCCCACGACAGGAGGAGTAACCACTTCAAAGCTGGTTGGCCTAGGGAGCCATCGATCCCCCCAAACCTTAATATCGGACCCATTACCCACATGCCACCGAGAACCACGGGTAATAACCTTCATAGCAGAGAGAATGCTACTCCAAACAAATGATGGTTTGGAACCCGGAACCGCATCCAGGAGAGAAGAGTAGGGAAAATACCTAGCCTTCAAAAGCTTGCTGATTAGAGAATCTGGGTTATGAAGGAGGCGCCACCCTTGCTTAGCAAGCATAGCAAGGTTGAACGCATAGAGGCTCCTAAAACCCAACCCACCCTCGCTCTTTGGTAGACCCAACTTGCCCCAACGCATCCAATGGATTTTTCGCCTATCACCATGCTGACCCCACCAAAACTTTGCCATAAGTTGCTCAAGATCATAACAAAAGTTTTTGGGTAGCAGGAAGCAACTCATAGTGTAAGTAGGAATAGCCTGGGCCACCACCTTAATTAAGATTTCCTTGCCTGCCATACTGAGGGTCTTGTCCTGCCAACCCTGCATCCTCTTCCAAACACGCTCCTTAATACTCTGGAAGCAAATATTTTTTGAGCGTCCCACCACCATAGGCAACCCAAGATAAATGTCATGGTGAGAAACTTTGTTGATGCCGAGTTGATGGGCCAAGGTCCCCTGAACGTCAATAGGGATATTTGAGCTAAAAGCTACAGTACTCTTTCCACAATTAATTTTCTGTCCCGAGGCCCGTTCATATAACTCAAGGATATGGCGTAAATGGAAACAGTTAGCCGAGTTAGCCCGAGCAAAGATAAAGCTGTCATCCTCAAAGAAAAGGTGGCTGATGCTCGGCGCCCCACGACAGATGGTGATGCCCTGCAGCTCCCTACGACGCTCGGCCATATTAAGCAGGGTAGTAAGCCCCTCCGCACGGAACATGAACAAGTAGGGCGAAAGGGTCCCCCTGACGAAGGCCCCTAGAAGGATGCAAGTTGCCCCGAGGCTCCCCATTAATAAGGAAGGAATAGGTAACTGTACGGACACATGCCATCAGCATTTCCACCCACTGAGCGTGGAACCCCAGTTTCAACATGATCTCCTCCAGGAAATTCCACTCCACACGGTCATAGGCCTTACTCATGTCTAGTTTAATTGCCATGCAACCCTTCTTGCCACGTCTACGCTTACGTAAATGGTGGGCCATTTCAAAAGCCACAATGGAATTGTCAGAAATCAGTCTACCCGGAACAAAAGCAGACTGGTTTCGGGAGATGATGTGATGAAGGAGTCCTTTTAACCAGTTTGCAAGAACCTTCGCCTCAATACGGTAGATAACATTGCACAGGCTAATAGGGCGAATATGAGACATATTTCAGACCTCCCTCACCTTAGGGATTAAAGCAACAGAAGTAGAATTGATCCTTGAGACTACCCCCGGACACTGAAAATACTCAGTGACAGCACGCACAACGTCGTCCCCAACAATAGCCCAGTATTTCTGATAGAAAAAAGGGGACATACCATCCGGCCCAGGAGCCTTGGAAGGATGCATTTGGAACAGAGCATGTTTTATCTCATCAGAACAGAACGGCTGCATTAGGGAATGGTTCATCTCAGGTGAGACCCGGCACTCCAGGCCATCAAGAATCTCCCCCATCCCCTCACCCTGAGCAGACGAAAACAACTGGGTGAAATAATCAAGAACCGTCTTCTCAATCCCAGCATCGTCAGAATGCCACCTACCCTCCTCATCAAGGATACCCCGTAATAGGTTCCGCTTTCGGCGATGATTAGCATGTTGGTGTGTTGTTTCCATATGACAGCAGCAAACCAGAAAAAGAAAAGAAAAGAAAAGTCAAGAAAGAAGACAACAACAAAAAAAATAAAAAAGGAAAAGAAACAAGGCTTTGAAAAGGCCACGTGCCATGCCTTGAATTCCTTCTCTGTTGATTGTTTGCAAACAATCAAAACAAAAGTACAAGTAAAACAAAATGAGATAGCTCTCAATTTGGATCGGTCACAAGTATACCAGATAAATTTGGGAGTGGGAAGCTGGGAAACAAATTCTTTTAACAGCCGCTGTTTTGGCTTCAATTTGCTGCTGGGTACCAACGCTTTTCAAACATGGACTCCTTGCTCGTGGGCTAGCTGACAACAAATATCAAATGCCCAAAAAGAGATTAATGGGCTGTTAAAAATAATTGTCCATTAATTCTCAAAAGCCCAGAATATTTAATGGGTGATACAAATAATTACCCATTAAATTTTACAGAGGCCCAAATTTCCTATTATATGGTCAATGGATTAATTTCCTCATAGCCATATTTGGGATCCAAATGCAAATGTCAATTTTAGAAAATTAGTGTGCTAATCAAAATTGCTCATTATTTTTCTTGGACATTGACAAAAAGAAAAATGGTACAAAACCATTCAGAATTTTCTCATGGGTCATCTACCCATGCAAATTCCAACGAGATTAAATTCAAATCTCTCAAACGCAAATCCTCAATTAGTGGGCCACACTTACCCATTAATTTCCAATTATTTTCATGGGTCACCTACCCATGCAAATTCCAATGAGATTAAGTTCAGATCTCTCAAACACAAATTCTCAATTAGTGGGCCACACTTACCCATTAATTTCCAATTTTTCCCATAAGTCATTTACCTATGAAAATCTCCAAATTGTCTCAAAGACACAAATTCTCAATTAGTGGGCCACACTTACCCATTAATTTCCAATTTTTTCTCATAGGTCCATCTACCTATGAAAATCTCCAAATTGTCTCAAAGACACAAATTCTCAATTAGTGGGCCACACTTACCCATTAATTTCCAATTTTTCCCATAGGTCATCTACCTATGAAAATCTCCAAATTGTCTCAAAGACACAAATTCTAAATTATTGGGCCACACTTACTCATTAATTTCAAATCCTTTTGAAACTACGCCGGTTTGATCCCATCAAGGGTACGTAGGCAGTCTAGCATACCAATAGACGCAATCGCAACCAAATTCCCACCAATCAAATCTCCATACAAATCATTTTGTAACTACGCCGGTTTGATCCCATCAAGGGTACGTAGACAGTCTAGCATACCAATAGACGCAATCGCAACCAAATTTCCACCAATCAAATCTCCATACAAATCATTTTGGAACTACGCCGGTTTGACCCCATCAAGGGTACGTAGGCAGTCTAGTATCCCAATAAACGCAACCGCATCCACACCAAATCCCAAGTGGTACCAAAACCACACCAAAATCCCATGTGGTACAAAACCACGCCAAAATCCCAAAGTGGTACAAAATCACACCAAAATCCCAAGTGGTACAAAACCACGCCAAAATCCCGAAGTGGTACAAAACCACACCAAAATCCCAAGTGGTACAAAACCACGCAAATTAAACAATCTTTTCTGAACTACGTTGTTTTGATCCCTTCAAAAGGGTACGTAGGCAATCTAGAGATTCAATCTAGATGCAACCGCCCAAATCTCAAATCCAAATAGAATCCCTGGTTATTCTTAACCAAATTCACCCCAAACACACATCAAAATCGAATCCCTGGTTTATTCAGCTAAATTCACTCAAACACTTTCTCAATCAAATTCGTACATATTTTTCCTTTTGCAATGAGTCATCCATTCATTGTGAACTCTTTGAACTACGAGTGGCTTGATTCCTGCGAGGGATACGTAAGCACCCTGAGGTTGGACTTGGGAGCAGCCGCAAAACCAAACACACACGTTCTGTTTCTTTATGATGGAATCAAAGGGTTTTCCCTTGAAGCAAGGGATTGTAATTAAGAGACTTGCGTCTCGAATGGGCCGAACCTAAAATAATAAAACCCCATTATTTAATTAGTGGTGGTGAAATTGTGTTGGGAGGTTCACATTTATCTCCAACACTCTAGTGAAGGTTTTAAGGGTTTTGAATCCAGAAAAGTTGTCATGAATGATATGCTTAGTGCTTTGAGGAATGAAAAGACAAGAATAATTGGGATTTGCGAGATGGGAGGTGTGGGTAAAACCACAATGGTGAGAGAAATCATCAAGAGATTACAAGGAACGAATAAGCGGTTTGATGATGTTGTGATGTCAACTGTCTCCGCAACTGTAAGCATTAGGAAAATTCAAGCTGAAATTGCAGAGTCACTCGATATGAAATTGGTCAAGGAAAGTGAATCTATAAGAGCACTAAGGCTGCATGAGACAATCAAGGATAAAAGAATCCTGATTATATTAGATGATGTATGGTCAGAGCTTAAATTACAGGATGTAGGAATTCATTTTGATGTTGGACCTACAACTAATCAAATTCAGGAAGGGTGCAAAATTTTGTTGACATCTCGAAATGAAGAAGTTTGTGAAGTGATGGGGGTGTAAAGATGACATTTTTAGAGTCCAAGCCTTAAATAAACAAGAAGCATGTGAGCTTTTCAGGGCGACTGTAGGTGAATCCATGGACAATGATCCTGAGTAGTGGCTTCGTATTGCAGAACTGATTGTAGATGAATGCAAAGGTTTACAGTGCAATTTCATTAATTAATTTTGGGTTAGATGAAGATATTACAGATGGTTTGGAGTGCCAAAAACTTGATCTTCTACAACTGATAAATTTCTCCGGTTCAGAATATTCCCACCACTTTAAAAGGTTGAAAGAACTCAAGGTTTTAGCTTTCTTGGGGATGGATATGTCAAGTTATTTGGCCTCGAAAAGATCTCTAGCGCTTGGACAACCCAAGTACCTTCATACCTTGTGTCTAGAGGATTGTAAATTGGGAGACACATCTCATGTTATTGGAGTTTTTGAGAATTTAAAGATCCTCAGCTTTGCTCGCTCTGAAATCAGTAAGTTGCCTAAAAAAATCAGAGATCTTCAACGATTAAGGATTCTAGATGCAACATATTGTAAAGGACTTGAAGAAATTCCATATGGTGTCTTATCCAACTTAAGGAGGTTAGAAGAGTTGTACATGGCAAAAAGCTTTCTCAATTGGGGGCCAAAAATAGAAAGCAAGGACGAAACGAGCATGGCAAGCCTTGATGAGGTGACGTCTCTATCTGTTCGTTTAAAAGTCTTAGCCATAGAAAAACCTTATGGTCAGATGGTGCGGAATGATGAGCTTCTCTTCAAGAACGAAAATATAAGATTTCATGTATCTATCAATACTAGTTGGTCATGCAATGCTGGAATGCCTGGTTATCTGTTCGAAAATAGTTTGATGCTTAGTGGTGATGTAAAGGAATATTTGGAGATTGGAGCAATTAGAGACTTCTTGAAGGAATGTGAAGACTTAAGCCTAGACCACACGTACAATTTAAAGAGTTTGATGCTTGATCAGTGTTAGAAATGTGCCCTAAGAGCCAATACATTTGATGTAATCTCCTTAGAATACATTTCGTATATGATATATAAAGGTCAAACTTAATTTGTTATCTTTTACATTGTGTAAAGAAACAAATGTCCCGGGTATGCTAAATAAGAGATAGAGTAATCTAAAGAAGATTAGATTCGGGAGACCTTTAATCTCTAACTGTAGTATCCCAAAATGTTCCTAATCATAGGTTATCAAATGGACATTGATAAACCGTCAAGATTAGCACATATTATGTATGCTCAAGTGGGAGGATGGTTAGTCTCAAACCATTTGTGTAGTTGACACTAATACAAGTATGTGGGTACTCATTAGTGAATGAGCACACTGAACGCGATCAACCGTAGTTCTCGTATGGAGTATTTATCTATATGTCAAACGAGAACTCATAGTTGCAATAATGCAAATTAGTCCTTAGACCTGAGGCATCATGGTTGTCTTGTGATGCGTTATTGATCTTTGATAGCTCTTAAAGGCAAGTCGTAAAAGATTTGTCTTAAGTGTTGTTGGGATCTCTTAATTCATCATAGGGGCATGTGAATGTACAATAAGGAATCTCTACTTTTGATAAAGAAGGAGAATGTTTCAAGATGTGATTTAGTAAATCTTTGGCCAAAGTATTTTGAGCTTGATTTAGAAAGTTGTTCTTAATCACGTTCTTTTGAATCATATGAGGTTATAAATCATATTAGGGGTTTGACATAATCAATCCGTACCCTAATAATATGATTTGAAACATTGTATAAGAGAAGGACCGTATTGTATTGCAATTCCAACTGAATAGGTTCTTCATCTATTCTGGTTAGCTTGGGTAGCCTTGATATATTGCTAGATGTCACTCTTGGCTTGTGGAAGTCCTAGGATTGATTGTGATCGATCCAAATAAAGGAAGAATTAAAAAGGGGTTTTAATTCCAGTTGGTTAGAAAGAGTTCTAATATTTTCCCACTGCCTTGCTAATTAGAACCTAATGGATCGCACACCTTAAATGGTTAACTTTGAGTAATACAAATGAGAATGAGGAAATCAATTTGATTGATTTGATGTGGATGATTTACTACGTGTAAAAACGTATTTGGGCCTCGATAATAGTTAGAGGGAAGCCCAAATGGTTGGGTATCAAGCCCAAGGGCTTAAGACACCTAAATATTATGGTTTAAGTGTCATAAGGCCCAATTTTGGAAGCCCAATGGGGTTTGGCCGAAAATGGTTAAGTGAATGTGTATGGGAATTGTTTCCATAAGCTAATTAACACACAAACACAAACCAACATCAACCAAATAGGTTTGGGAGATCAAAGAGAGAAAAAGGAGAGTTTTCAAGAGTGAAATACTTTCATCTTTCAAAGTGGTTTAGATTGAAACCAATCTTGAGAATCTTGCACTAGCATCCAAGTATTTTCAAGATACTTCTTCTCATCTCAAGGTTCCATTGGTGTGGAGACTTAGAGGCCATATACTTTTGTGGCTCACATGGAGGAGAAAGATCAAGGAGCAAAGATCAAAGATCAAAGAGGAGATCAACAAAGAGGAAATCATCAAAAGAAGACCAAACACAAATTGGTTCATATAATTGCTTCAAGGGTAATTAGATCTTATCCTTTCTCTTGAATTTTCATTTATGAAAAACATATCAATGTTCATGGCTTAAGATACTTGGAAGAAGTTTTGTTTTTGAATTTAACCACCATAGACTTCCGCTGCGATTAATTTGATTAAATGCATGTTTAATATTCAAATGAACTTTGGAAAAATATTTTGAAATTCTTACAATCAGTTCATAATTGTAAATCATTTTGTACCCTTCTAGCTTATGATTTGGTTATGTTTTTGAGTTAAACTTTTGCTTTTAATCTCTTTTGTGTTTGTCATTCAGTTCATTGAGCTCTAGATATCACTTGAGGCATTTGGTGCAAAATGGTGCAAAAACGTGCAAAATGTGCAGTCTGAGTTGGCAACTCATTTCGGCCTTAACTCATTCATCCGAGCTTGGATTGGGCCAATTCTTGTGTGGTTGGATCAGAGACATTCTGAACTTCAAAATGGACATCTCAAAGTCATCATTTGATTCAACCAAGCCCAATTCGTAAGCCCAAGAAGTTGTTCATCATGCTGACTTGCAGATGAGCTCATTGCTTGCTTGGTCATGATGAGCTAGGCATGAGCTATTGTTTCTGGTTGGAAGCTTGGTCATGCTGACATGAAGATGAGCTATGGCTGCTGGTGGGAATTGTTGGTGAAGTGCAGCAGCCACAAGAGAAAAGAATCTAATTTTCTAATACAAGTGTTGTGTGCATTAGCCATATTGAATTCAGACTTCTCATTCCATTCTCCCTATAAATACCACATTCATTCCACATTCAAGGTGTGTAAGCTTGGGATTCACAACCCCACAAAACCCTCTCCATCCATCCTCAAACACTTCCATCATTCCCTAAACACATTCAGAAATCATCCTCAAACATTCCTAAAACCCCAAACACTCCAACAATCAATCCAAAGCTCTAAACAGCCCCAAATCATCAAAACTATCCCAACAAGTCTCTCTTCCATTTCCCTACGAATTTCATCTTTCTCAGCCATCACCACTCACTCAAACTCATCCCAAATCACCTCCATATCCTTCATACATCCTTCTAGAAGTGGGGAAACTCTTGGACAAGCATTAGACGTGGAGAAGCCCTTTGAAGAAGCATTGGACACCACAAGAACTTCATAAATTGGTTTTTTCTACTCTTGTTGCATTCATTATGTTTTCTCATTTCTGTTCAAGTCTCTTTTCCAATATGAGTAGCTAAATCCATAACTAGGGCTTCGATGTAACCTAACATGAATATTATGGGTTTATAAATTTCAAGTTTCAAGTTTGATTCATGATTCATGTTCTTATTCATTTTGCCTACTTGCCTATATGCTGACCGGAATGCTTAGCTACCATTTTGATTTGTGTATCTTGGTTTGAATTAAGAGTAGACACCATGCTTTAATTCAAATTGAACTATGAATAAGAAGAGTGTGTATAGAATTCGACAATCTGGATTAGATACACACTTGGTTGTCTAAAATGTTCTTCTATGCTTAATGGATTCCTAATGCTTAATTTTAGGTTAGACAACAAATGATCAAATTAGGGAATTAGGAATACAAGGTTAGGACCAGACACCATGGTTTAATCATACATTAGCTAGAATCAATCCTTGAATTTGAATTAGACTTGTCACTTGAATCCTTATAACCTAGAATTGAATTGTTATGGTGAATCGAATGCCCTAGTCTCCAAATCTGCTTTTCAATCTTCAAAACCACCCTTGCTGCACTTGTTTACTTATTTCGTTTGCAATTTCAGTTTGTTCATTTCTTTCTATAATCACAAGCATTCTCACTTCAAAGTCCAATTTAATCTGGCTGTATTTGTTTTTAAACTCACTCTTGCTTTAAATTCTGTTTTAGACTTAACTTCCTAATTTCTTGAATTTGGTAATCTAAGTACATAACTAAGTTTAACTTCTCAGTCCTCGTGGGTACGACCTCGTACTTGTCTTGCTATACTACTGATTGGCACATACACTTGCGAGTTAATATAAATTAACAACAATGCTTTTGAAGCAATCTGATGATCAAGGGGGCTTTCAACGCTTGAAAGTTTTATCAATCATGTGTGACAACAACATAGAGTATCTTATGAATGGAATAGATTGGACTCGTCAACATCCAGACAAGCGCTCCTTTTTGAACTTAAGATCCATTGCAATTCACCATTGTGATAAGTTAAAATATCTAGACAAGTGCTCCTTTATGAACTTAAGATCCATTGCAATTCACCATTGTGATAAGTTAAAATATGTCTTTTCACTATCCGTAGCACAAAACTTGGTACAACTCCAAAGCTTAATGGTTGAATGGTGTTTTGACGTGGAAGAGATCATATCAAATGAGAGAATGGAAGATGATAATGCATCTCACATGATAAAATTGTCCAAATTAACTTTTTTGGAGCTTCATAAACTGCC